CATTTGTTTATCTACTCAGCAGCTGAAAAATGTTTATACTGTTTCCATTTGGGGCATTTATTAATAAAGTTGCCATACACAGTGTGTGGATTTTTGTGTTTTCATCTCATTTTTCTTGAGTTGTTTTTATTTCTCTTGGGTACCTAGGAATGAGATTACTAGGTCCTGTGATAAGTTTTATTTATTTATCTTTTTCTTTGAGATGCAGTCTTGCTCTGTCACCCAGGCTGGAGTACAGTGGCACGATCTCGGCTCAGTGCAACCTCCGCCTCCCAGGTTCAAGCAATTCTCCTGCCTCAACCACCCAAGTAGCTGGGATTACAGGCATGCACAACCACAACTGGCTAATTTTTGTATTTTCAGTAGAGACAGGGTTTCACTATGTTGGCCAGGCTGGTCTCAAACTCCTGACTTCAGGTGATCCTCCCGCCTCAGCCTCCCAAAGTGCTGGGATTACAAGGGTCAACCACCACACTCAGCTGGTTAAGTGTATTTTTAAAATTAGAAAAAATGGCCCAACTGTTTTCTTGTTTTCCAAAGTAGTCGCACACATTTTGCATTCCCACCAGCAACATATGAATGTTTCATTGCGCTGCATTCTATTTATTTATTTATTTACTTATTTAACTTTGTGACAGGGTCTCACTCTGTCACCCAGGCTGGAGTGCAATGGTGCAAACATGGCTCACTGTGGCTTCAACCTCCTGGGCTCACGCAATCCTCCAGTCTGAGCGATCCTCCCATCTGAGCCTCCTGTGTGGCTGGGACCAAAGCCATGTGCCACCATGTCAGGTTAATTTTTAAATTTTTTGCAGAGATGGAGTCTCACTTTGTTGCCCAGCCTGTTCTTCAACTCCTGGTCTCAAGCAATCCTCCCACCTCAGCCTCCCAAGTGCTGGGATAACAGGTGCGCACCCCAAGCCAGGCTAATTTTTTTTTTGTTAGGAAGGTTGTTTTTTAATACTTAAATCTTACCTCAAACGTCCACGCATACACCCCTTGGTTTTTCCCCTTGAGGGTTATGATGTTTAGAAAAGAACTCTCCACTTTTTTTTTTTTTTTTTTTTTTTTTGAGACTGCGCCTCGTTCTGTCACCCAGGCTGGAGTGCTATGGCTAACTCACGGCTCACCGCAACCTCCGCCTCCCGGGTTCAAGCAATTCTCCTACCTCAGCCTTCCAAGTAGCTGAGATTACAGGCACGAGGCACCAAGCCCGGCTAATTTTTGTATTTTTAATAGAGACGGGGTTTCACCATGTCAGTTCGGCTGGTCACGAACTCCTGACCTCGTGATCCGCCCGCCTCGGCCTCCCAAAGTGCTGGGATTACAGGCGTGAGCCACCGCACCCGGCCTCCCCCACGCTCTTAGGAAACCAGGGAGGTTGCAGGTGCCCCGGCACTCAAGCTGGGCTCTCCCAGGAGTCCCAGGACAAGCCGACAACCTGGAGACTCCTGCAGCCAGCGGCTTCCAGTGAGGCGGTGGCTGGGGGCTCAGGGACGGTGCCCTGGGCCTGGCGGGACGGCCCTGAGACTTTGGGCCTGGGGAGCAGCCGCAGCTGCGGAGCCGGGAACACCCAGGCGCCACGCATTGGGAGCGCACGGGAGCGGGGCGGGAGCAGCAGAGGAGAGAAAGGACCGTACGGGCAGGATCGCGGCTTCCAGGAGCCGGGGAGCAGCTCCCCATCCGCACTGCGAGTTCTTTAAGGAGGAGGGTCCAGCCCGCCGGCCCTCGGCTCCTCCCTGGAGTAGAGTCCAGCTCCTCCCGGCTCCCCCTCGGTCCCTGGCTTTGGCGCCTTCCCCGCGCACCCACCCCCGCCGTCCCTCTCTGCCCACCATCCTGTTCCACCTTGGCAGTGGCTTCAAGGGGAATTCCACCGCGACATAAAGGGGCTTTCTCCTCGAGCTCTCCTCGCCCCTCAGCCCCGCCCAGCCAGGAGCCAGGCCTTGGAGGGTCTGGTGGATTTGAGTCCAGGCTCAAATCCCTGGCCAGCCACTGGCGAACTGGAGTTCCTGGGCAAGTCCCTTAACCTCTTAGCTCCTTCACTTCCTCGCCCCTAAACTAGGGCTAAAGAGAGTGCATTCTTGGGATTGACGGGAGGAGTAAATGAATTAATATATGTCTAGCTTTTAGGACCGTATCTGGGCCACGATGATAAGTGCTATATTATTGTAAGTTGAGCACAGAATTCCAGTGTCCTCTTCCCATGTGCCACGAGTACCTCTGCCCCTTCATTCTCTGAAGGCCTGTCCCAATCTGGTTATGCCCACCAGTCATCAGAGATGAGAAGGGTGGTGCACAGACACCCACTCCCAGCCCCACCCAGCTGGTCTCTGGCCCCCTGGCCTGCGGCCTCTCTCCACTCCCTGCCTTTGGGGAAGCCCCAGCAACACTTGGTGAAGGAAGGTGAAGTCAGGAACATTTCTGCCACTCCTGGTCTGGGTCACCCACCAGAGTAAGGAAAGCTAAGCTCTGCAGTCTGAATCCTTGTCCCAGTCCATCACTCTCTGTGACCTTGGGTCAGTTGCCCTCTGGGCCTGGTTTTTGCGTGAGTAAAATAAATATATTCCTTTTTTTTTTTGAAACAGAGTCTCACTCTGTCACCCAAGCTGGACTGCAGTGGTGCGATTTTGGCTCACTGCAACCTCCACCTCCCACCTTCAAGCAATTCTCTGCCTCAGCCTCCTGAGTAGCTGGAACTACAGGCACACACCACCATGACTGGTTAAGTTTTGTATTTTTAGTAGAGACAGGGTTTCACCATCTTGGCCAGGCTGGTCTTGAACTCCTGACCTTGTGATCCGCCCACCTCAGCCTCCCAGAGTGCTGGGATTACAGTCGTGAGCCACTGTGCCCCGCCTAAAGATATTTTTATGAGTACATAATAGTTGTACATAAAAGATACTTTTTTTTTTTTTTTTTTGAGATGGAGTCTTGCTCTGTCACTGAGGCTGGAGTGCAGTGGCACGACTGCAGCTCACTGCAGCCTCAACATCCTGGGCTCAAGCAATTCTCCCACTTCAGCCTCCCAAGTAGCTGGGACTACAGGTGTGCACCACCTCACCCAGCTAAATTTTGTATTTTTTCTAGAGGCAGGGTTTCACCATGTTGCTCAGGCTGTCTTGAACTCCTGGGCTCAAGCTATCCACAGCCTCCCAAAATGTTGGGATTACAGGCATGAGCCACCCTACCAGGCCAAGATACTCTTTTCCAAAGCATTTATTAGGTATGTAAGACACTGGACTGGTCTGCCCTACCTATTTTAAGAGATGTGAAGATTACCTGAAATTTTGCAGGTAGAATTAAGTCATGGAGTCCTATAAAGTTCCCCATATTTTGCAATTCTGGAATTCTAGGAGGCCCTCAGGCTGCCAGATGCCTGTCTTCCCACCCCTGCCACCCACTGCTCATGTTCAGGAGGTTAGTGACTTTGTCTGTTTTATCCTCAGATATGACCCCAGCACCTAGTGCAGTACCTGGCACATAATAGATGATCAATAAATATGTTTTGAAGTAATAAACTGATTTAATTTTAATTTTAATAACTACAGTATATACAAGGAACTTAAACAACTCTACAGGAAAAAATCCAAAAATCTGATTTCAAAATGGGCAAAAGATCTGAAAAGGCATTTCTCAAAATAAGACATACAAATGGCAAACAGGCATATGAAAAGGGGTTCAACATCACTGATCATCAGAGAAATGCAAACCAAAACTACAAGGAGATATCACTCACCCCAGTTAAAATGACTTTTATCCAAAACACAGGCAGTAACAAAAGCTGGCAAGGATGGAGAGAACAGGGAACCCTCCACACTGTTGGTGGGAATGTAAATTAGTACAACCACTATGGAGAACAGTTTGGAGGTCCCTCAAAAACTGTTATATAATCCCACTCCTAGTTATATAACTAAAACAAAGGAAATCAGGCTGGGCTCGGTGGCTCATGCCTGTAATCCCAGCACTTTCAGAGACCAAGGTGGGTGGATCACGAGGTCAGGAGTTCAAGACCAGTTTGGCTAACATGGTGAAACCCCGTATCTACTAAAAATACAAAAATTGGATTGTTTATAACACAAAGGATAAATGCTTGAGGTGACAGATGTCCTGATGAGGTTATTATGCATTGTATGCCTGTATCAAAATATCTCATGTACCTTAAAATATACACACGTATTATGTACCCACAAAAATTAAAAACTTTTAAAAATAAATAGAGCCAGGCATGGTGGCTCACACCTGTAATCCCAGCACTTTGGGAGGCCGAGGCTGGCGGGTCACGAATTCAGAAGTTTGAGACCAGCCTGACTAACATGGTGAAACCCAGCCTCTACTAAAAATACAAATAATAGCTGGGCATGGAGGCGCACACCTGTAATCCCAGCTACTCAGGAGGCTGAGACAGGAGAATTGCTTGAACCTGGGAGACGGAGGTTGCACTGAGCCAAGGTCGAGCCACTACACTCCAGCCTGTGCTACAGAGCGAGACTCCATCTCAAAAAACATAATAAATAAATAACAACAGTAGTAGCTAGTAGCTAATGGCTACCAGATTGAATAGGACAGAGCGGCACTAGACTGATCTAGTGCTCCCTTTGGGCAGAGACTGGACTATCTTGTTCACTCTTGTGTCCTGGTACATAACACAGTTCCAACACATAAACAGCAGGTTGTTGTTAATTTTTTTTTTTTTTTTTTGAAGCTTTTTTTGAGACGGAGTTTCACTCTTGTTACCCAGGCTGGAGTGCAATGGCGCGATCTCGGCTCACCGCAACCTCCGCCTCCTGGGTTCAGGCAATTCTCCTGCCTCAGCCTCCTGAGTAGCTGGGATTACAGGCACGCACCACCATGCCCAGCTAATGTTTTTGTATTTTTAGTAGAGACGGGGTTTCACCATGTTGACCAGGATGGTCTCGATCTCTTGACCTCGTGATCCACCCGCCTCGGCCTCCCAAAGTGCTGGGATTACAGGCTTGAGCCACCGCGCCCGGCCTGACAAAAATTTTTTAATGTAATTTTTGTTAAGTAAAATAACATCTTATTTTATTTAATGACCTATAGTGTTTGCCAGTATCCAAGGTGTAAATACTGCCACCATGGTTGATTTAAAATGGTTTAATTCTGGCAAGCAGAAGTTTGAAATTTAACAATCTTCTCAGCCAGGCATGGTGGCTCATGCCTGTAATTCCAGCACTTTGGGAAGCTGAGGTGAGCGAATCACCTGAGGTCGGGAGTTTGAGACCAGCCTGGCCAACATGGTGAAACGCTGTCTCTAAAATAAATAAATAAATAAATAAATAATAAAAATAATAAAAACAATCTTCTCATACTAGCTTTTGAATGAATGAGCAAATGAATGGACAAATAAATGAGCAAATAACTGACCAAGATGAGCCTCTGCATGCCCCATCCAAGGAAAAGAGGACTAAGGAGAGTAGAAGAATATTTCAAGATGCCAGCAGTCCTTTCACTCCCTTTGCAGGTCCTCTTTGTCCCAGGAAACAGAACCTAGTGGGAGAATGAATGATTGAACTTCCTCAACCTTGCTGCATACACACCTCCAGCTTTGAGAAAGCCCAGAATTTTTTTGTTTTTTGAGACAGTGTCTCACTCTGCCACCCAGGCTGGAGTGCAGTGGTGTGATCTTGGCTTCTCAGCTCACTGCAACCTCCACCTTCCAGATTCAAGCGATTCTCCTGCCTCAGCCACTCAAGTAGCTGGGATTGCTGGCAGGCACCACCAGGTCCAGCTAATTTTCGTATTTTTAGTAGAGACGGGATTTCACCACATTGGCCAGGCTGGTCTGGAACACCTGACCTCAAATGATCCACCTGCCTCAGTTTCCCAAAGTGCTGGGATTACAGGCGTGAGCCACCTCACCCGGCCTTTTTTTTCTTTTTTAAGGAAAAAAAGAAAAAAATCTCATCTTAATTTTTTTCTTTTTAAAGAAACTTTCCCGACCAGGTGCAGTGGCTCACACCTGCAATCCCAGAACTTTGGGAGGATGAGGTGGGTGGATCACAAGGTCATGAGTTCAAAACCAGCCTGGCCAAGATGTTGAAACTCTGTCTCTTCTAAAAGTACAAAAATTAGTCAGGTGTGGTGGCTCAAGCCTGTAATCCCAGCACTTTGGGAAGCCGAGGCGGGTGGATCACGAGGTCAAGAGATCGAGACCATCCTGGTCAACATGGTGAAACCCCGTCTCTACTAAAAATACAAAAATTAGCTGGGCATGGTGGCGCATGCCTGTAGTCCCAGCTACTCAGAAGGTTGAGGCAGGAGAATTGCTTGAACCCAGGAGGCAGAGGTTGCGGTGAGCCGAGATCGCACCATTGCACTCCAGCCTGGGTAACAAGAGTGAAACTGCATCTCAAAAAAAAAAAAAAAAAAATACAAAAATTAGGCAGGTAGAGTGGCTGGCACCTGTAATCCCAGCTACTCAGGAGGCTAAGGCAGAGAATTGCTTGAAGGTGGGAGGTGGAGTTTGCAGTGAGCCGAGATTGTGTCAGTGCACTCCAGCCTGGGAGACAGAGTGAGACTCCATCAAAAGAAGAGAAAGAAGAGAAAGAAAGAAAGAAAAGAAAGAAAGAGAAAGAAGAGAAAGAAAGGGAGAGAAACTTCCCCAAGTCACTTTAACAGTCTTTGTAATGGGAAGGCACTCAAACTGTAAATCTCCCTGTCATTTAGGAATGCTCAGTGCAAATGTTTAGAGACCCCAGGTACCACTTTCAACCTCTCATTTGAAGAAGGACTTTGTAGTCCTCCTCTGGGGTCACTCCTAGGTTCCAAAGATGTTCAGGAAAGGAGGGGCAGGTACCCACTAGCAGGACAGCTTGGACCCAGATCCAGACCCTCAATTTCAGCCCTAACTGGTTCAAAACACAGAGCATTCAAATAGCAATTGAAGCAACAAAACATAAAGATACAAGAAAGGTCACGAGTAATTCTGAGCCAAGGAATGCCAGGGCAGTAAATGCTGCAGGCATTCACAGGGAGGGCAATGGCCATGATTTGTGGCAGAAGTGAAGTGTGAGGGATGCTAAGACTTGTGCAGGGGGAGAAGTGAGAAAATACTGAGAACAAAGTCCCCAAGGCTCAGCTGCATGCCCAGCAGCTAATGGGTACTGCATAAATACAAGTTCTTTCCTTAAGTTGAGTGGTCCCGGAGACTCTGAACCTTTGATAGTGGCTGCAGCAGGGGCAAGATCGCAGGGGTGAGTACATGCCAAGCCCCAGGCAGTATATCCCCAGGGAGATAACCTTGAGCTGGCAGGAGCAGCCAGGACGTGCAGTGGGGCTGAGCTGAGCCAAAGCACAAAACAAAAAGGTCTTGTCCCTGTAGCTATTATCAGGGATGCCAACCCTCCAGCTGCCCTAAGACCCCAAGCCTCGATAAGGAGGTGGCATCCTGCCTGAAGAGCATGGCTCTGTCCAGCCAGGGTTTCAAAGGCCTACTGCCCACTTTGGTGCTACCTTGAGCCCTGTCTAGCACCAGGCCCAGTCACAAGGAGCTCCTTGGGACTATGGCATCCTTCTGTTGGCCGGATGGTCACAGCCCTGCTCAAATCAAAGCCTTCTTGGGGCTCTCTGGAGCTGTTGCTCATCTGCCACCACTTTCAGGCCTCTGTCACTCTAACCCAGCCCTTCCACACAAGTTCTCTGGCATCAAGTAATACAAAAATCACCCTTAAAAGGCTCTATAGTACTGTTTAATTCCTTATCTAATAATTTCAAACCCCAGAAAGCTCTGGAAACCAAAAGTTCTTCATAATTCACTTACATGCAAAACCTAACATGAAGTTATTTATACTTTTTATATGTTCCGTTTAGTGTGAATATTCATACGTTTCACTGCAGCAATACTAATATGACTGAGTCCATGATGACAGGTGCCAAGACCACACCCCCCACTGTGGTTTTCCTTATCATACATTTTATGCACCATATTTCCTTTGTGAAATCTGGCAGATTCTGAATCCTGAGAGTCATCGGGACCTACAGGTTAGGTTAAGTGATGGTGGGCCTGCAGCAGAAGCTCGAGTTCAAAGTGAAAGGATTCCAAGCTTCCATGCCTGCTCCCCGAGAGGTGCAGGTTCCTGACAGGCAGGACAGACAGACAGAGCCTCAGAGCTGATGGTGGGAGGGCTCCAGGAAGACAAGGCAGGGTAGGGGATTGGACGGCTCAGGGCAGTGCCTCTTCGCCAGCTGGGGGACAACTGCAGCATTTCTTTTTTCTTTTTTTTTTTTTCAGTTGGAATCATTTTTAATATTTAAATACAAAAAGTGAGCACTCGGCCGGGCGCGGTGGCTCAAGCCTGTAATCCCAGCACTTTGGGAGGCCGAGGCGGGTGGATCACGAGGTCAAGAGATCGAGACCATCCTGGTCAACATGGTGAAACCCCGTCTCTACTAAAACTACAAAAAATTAGCTGGGCATGGTGGCACGTGCCTGTAATCCCAGCTACTCAGGAGGCTGAGGCAGGAGAATTGCCTGAACCCAGGAGGCGGAGGTTGCGGTGAGCCGAGATCACGCCATTGCACTCCAGCCTGGGTAACATGAGTGAAACTCCGTCTCAAAAAAAAAAAAAAAAAAAAGTGAGCACTAACTTCTGGTTTTTTAAACCCACACACCCAGGTCTAACAGCCAAAATACGCAGAGAAAATCAGCCCCTGCGCTGTCTTCCATAGTCCCCATTCTGTGGCTGAAGCTGCAGCCTCCCTCCTCTTATACATAGGAATTCATAGTGGCCACTTTACACTACAGGTGTAATGCATTTTGTCTGTTTCACATTGTGTGCATGTCCCTCCCCAATAGCTCTATTCTTAAAAAAAAAAAAAAAAAAAGCAGTCATTAATAGTCAGGGGCACATCCCTCCCACTGGCATCGGTTCCTACCCCACAAGGGGAAAGTGAGATCTTCCAGTTAGGAGCAATTTGGTGAAAGGAGTGGGGTGGCCAGAGCTGGAATAACCATCTGCGTGGCTGCACTCTGATATCAGAGTGAAGACAGAAGCAAGTCAGGAAAGCATGGAGGGCACAGTTGCAAGTTGAGTCTTTCCATGAGACAATGTGGGGAGAATTCTCTCCCCCAGGTTTAGATAGATCAATGTGCCAAAGTTAAAAAAAAAAATTCAAATAATCAGCAGTTCAAACACTACTGAATTTCAAATTTCTCCCACCAAGACAGCTCAAAGAGCAGTAACAATTTAGATCTTTCCAGGAAGTGAAGGTAGAGCCCCTGGCATTCCTCCTGA